GATTTCCTAATGAGCCCACAAAACCTGATGGGATAACTGGGGGGGGTACCCCAATTCCTACCGAACCCCTGTTATTAAGTACCACGGCCCAGCTGGGACCTCCACAGTGGGCTCTCGTTGTATCGGTTGGGATTTATTTATGTTGAAAACTAGAAGATTTCTTGACTTTTGGCGCATTTGTGTTTTCACTTCGACTGGGGAGGGGGGCGAGTTTCAAGCCCCCCCCAAAACTCTCGCCCCGATCTAGTTTTTAAATTGAACCTTTTTTGGGGGGAGGGTGGACGGAGCCCGGTTTCGGCTGAGTTTTCTTTTGAGTCCTGCGTAGCATGTTTAAAAAAATAATCCAGATTCTTTCCCCCCCCCCCCCACGGTTCTGCTTCTTTCCTGCTGGGGGGGGGAGAGTGGGGGTCAGTGTGGGGAGGGGGCCGAGAGGCTTTGATGGGGCAGGTGGGACGATAGTTATGCCTTCCCCCAGCAACAAAGGGAGGAAAGGAGCGAAACAAGGCAGTCGAAGCGACGTTCTTTCATTCGTTCGTTGAGTGTTTGGGGATTCTTGCTTTTTTCTCTCTCTCTCTGCGCAATTTCTGTAACTTTCTGGACAAAAAAAAAAAATAAATTTTTTTTATTAACGGTTGACTAATGGCGAGTGTCCGTTCCGAAGTTTTAAATTGTGCAAATGGGGTGTTGGGGGGGGGGGTTTCTCTTTTAGAATACAGGCCATCCTCAACTTACGACTGGTCACTTACTGTTCGAAGTTACGACCGACTTCAAAAAGGGGATTTACAAACCAGATTTGATGTTCCAGCAGTTGGGGGGGGGGTCATCCCTGTGGTCATGTGATGCCCCCCCCCTTCAGACATAGGGCACCGGTCGCATTTGCAGCGTCTCGTGATCACACGTTACAACACTTTTGTCTAAAACTTGCAGCGGCTTCCATTTTTCAGCAAAACTGCGTCCACAACAAACATTAAAGTTTTGAAGAAGAGACTGGACAGCCATTTGTCTGAAATGGAATAGGGTTTCTTGCCTGAGCAGGGGGTTGGACTAGATGACCTCCAAGATCCCTTCCAACTTTACTATTTTTATTATTATTAATGACCGTGCCTCTCGCTTAACCTCAAAAGGACCAAAAAAAAAACCAAACCCCAGGTCGGTCACAGGATTGACCTGTTTTACAACCTAACGGGCTGGGTCCAATACGGTCAGAACTGAAGGACCACCTGTTCCATGCTCCCCAGGATGGCAAGACTTGGGAGGGGGCGACAAGGACTCTCCGGGGTGGTCCTTGTGTTACAGGTTGTGTTGTCCTTGGGGGAGCACAGTGCCCCTCCCCTCTTACAGTTCAGGAAGTTAGTGAAAACTGGCTAGGGAATTCTGGGCATTGAAGTCCCCAAGTCCTAAAAGGCACATCGTTCCCCACCCCTGTCTTAAAAATTGCCGTGGGTGAGGAACACAGCCATATTCATTTCCCTTTTTGCATCCTTTGTGGTCAGTTTCACTTCAGGTGTGTGTGTGTGTGTGGTCAGTTTCACTTCAGGTGTGTGTGTGTGTGTGTGTGTGGTCAGTTTCACTTCAGGTGTGTGTGTGGGTGTGTGTGATTCCCAGAGTCATAAAATTGAGGCCATAAGGCTACCAGGATCATTAAACCAGCTGACTGTCGATGCAAATCAGGCTGCCTGAAACAGCAATACTGGAAAATTCATTGTTAAGCAGGGCGGTCATTAAGTGGGGCATCACATGACCTGATTTTTTGCCATGGTCATTAGTGGGGAAGCTGGCTGGGTTGCCAATAGTGACCATGTGATCCCGGGACGTCACCACAACCGTTATCCGTACTTTTGGATTGCTAAGCCCCCAAGTTGCAACCCGCAGGAAAGCTGTGGTGGTCATAAGGGTGAGGACCTGTCACGAGTCATATTTTTCCATGTCATTGCAACTTTGGTCACTAAGCAAATAAGTTGTAAGTTGAGGACTCCCTGTATTTTAAAATCTCTCCCAGTCCAAGCTCATTATGTCCCAACAGGCAAAGAAACAGGAAGTCCCTCCCTAACCCCCCCCCCGTCCCCAGCATGCTTGCTGGGGAATTCTGGGAGTTGAAGTCCACACGTGTTCAGGTTGTGGACAAACATGGCAGATGGAACGTTGGGGGTTGGACTAGATGACCTCCAAGGTCCCTTCCAACTTTATTATTATTATAAGATTGTGAGTGTGTGCAATGCAAACAGCAGGATGGTTAACGAGTCTCAGAAGGGCCGCTCCAATCAAACCTCCAGAGGCAGGAGCAGACGACCCTCAAAATACAGATAGTCCTCAACTTACGACCAAAACGGAGCCCAACATTTCTGTCACTAAGCGAGACATTTGTTAAGTGAGTTTGTTCAATTTTGCCTTTCTTTGCAACCTTTCCTACCACGGTTGTTAAGCGAGCCACTGCAGTTTGTTCAATTAGTAACGCGGTCGCTAAGCGAATCCGGCTTCCCCATTGCACTTTGCTTCTCAGAAGGTGGCCCCGGGACGCTGCGACCGTCATAAATACGAGTCAGTTGCCAACTGCCGGAATTCAGATCACAGGAATTAGGTCAAAAGGGTCAAAACTGTCACTAGCGATGTCTCAATTTCCAGCGGTCATTAAATGAGTGATTAATGGATTTTTTTGGGTTTGGGGTGGGTTTTTTTTTTGCAATTGCTCCCACTTTTTCTCTCTTCCAGCTGTCTAAAGCCCACCCACCCCTTTGCAGTGGGGTCCTTCCCATCCTCCCCCTGCGGCAAATGCTGCGACACAACGCCCCTGCGAGGTAGACCAGTCCCACAGACCAGAAAAAGACCCTTTTTCCCTCCAGGAGGATGCAGGCTCTTCTGAACCCTCTTGGCGCCGCTCTCTGCACCGCTGGCTCTACAGCCAATAAATAATTTGAATTATTTCCATTTCATCGGCTTTCCTGGAAAACATGTTTTCCACTCGGATTCCAACCCACCCAGCAGGAAAAGCTTCCGGGAAAAGCGAAGCGTCTTATAAAACGGGAGTCAGGGTCAAAAACGCCCCTATTGGGGGCAGGATTAATTAATTAATTAATGTTGCAATGAATTAATTGCAAAAAAACAAATGAAAAAAAAAAGGAATCTGCGTTGGCCGGGAATCGAACCCGGGTCAACTGCTTGGAAGGCAGCTATGCTCACCACTATACCACCAACGCGAACTGTGCAAGCGGAGAGTGAAGAGTTCTACATAAAGGAGATTTTGCATGCTCGGTTGCACGCAATTCAAAAATACGAGGGGACACGGGTTCAGCCGGGGGGAGGGCGGGGGAGAGGAGACCCGACGTGCTGCTTTTCTTCCGTGTCCGGGGAAAGCTTTTTGTCCGCTCAGCAAAAGCCAGGGGGAAGAAAACCATCTGGCAGCGGTGGGATTCGAACCCACGCCCCCGGAGGGACTGGAGCCTAAATCCAGCGCCTTAGACCGCTCGGCCACGCTACCTCCGCTGGGGGCCAGTGGGAAGTGAAGCACAGACATTTTTAAGAGTGCAAATGGGGAATGGGGGGGGGAAAGAGGTGGCAGTGCCTTATGGGTCTGGGTATCCCCGCAGCCTAGGAGGGAGGGGGTGTCAGCCTGCACAGGGGGTCGAGGTTGATGCCCCCCCCAAGAATGGAGACTGATTGCAAGTGGGGAAGGGGTGTGGACCCTCCCCCCCAGCTGAGTCCCCCCCCCCCCCAAGTCACGGATCTCTATCCAGGGCAGCTTTCCCGGAGTGGAGCCTGGATGCCAGCTGGGGACGATGGGGCCTGGAATCCCACCCGTCCGGGAAGCAGCCAGGCGAAGGGGTACAAGCCCCTTTGGGGGACCCTTCCCTCCCCCACCCCTCCCGACGCCCAGCGCTGGAGCCTTGAAGCCCCATCAGCTGATCCAATAATGATAAGAATAATAGTAAAGTTGGAAGGGACCTTGGAGGTCATCTAGTCCAACCCCCTGCTCAGGCAGGAAACCCTACACCATTTCGGTCAAACGGCCGTCCAGTCGCTTCTTAAAAACTTCCAGTGTTGGAGCATTCACGGCTTCTGGAGGCAGGTACGGACCGGGAACGATGGGAGTTGGAGTCCCACCTCTCCGAGAAGCCGGCAGGGAAAGGGGTACCAATGCTCTCCCGGGGGGGGGGGAGAAGCGGGCCCGATCCCGGAATCCGCCGATCTCAGCCCAGCGTTGGGAGTTTCCCCCCACCCCCGAGCGGCAACCTGGGTCCCCGCTGGGAATGATGGGGCTTGGAGTGCCACCCCTCCAGGAAGCCGGCAGGCAAATGAGGCCAAATCTCAGGCACGACAAGGGGAAGGTAGACTGTGCTTATCCAGGGAGGCTCTGCGAAGGGCTACCTCTTCCCGCCCCGCAGTTTCCCCCGAGCTGGAGCTTTTCATGCGGGCCGGGGATGATGGGGGCTGGAGTCCGACCAACCGGGAAGCCTCTCTGTCCGGACATGGGCCGTGCCCAGCGGGAGGGAGCAAGAAGATGTCCCGGAGACGGGCAGCGTCAGCTGGCGCGCAGCCTAGACTGCAAGGTAGACTGCTCCTGACCGAGGAAGCTCTGCGGAGGGCTGCCCCCGTCCTCTCGCCGCCCTCTCGGAGTCCCTGGCTGGCTCTCCCCCTAGCCTAGCCCCACAGTTTCCCCAAGCTGGGAACTTGGAGGCGGGGGCTGCGGACGATGGGCTCTGCAGTCCCAACCCAGCGGGAAGCCTCTCTCGCTGCTGTCTATACCCGGCTTGCGGGGGGGGGGGAGGCAGGAAGAAGCCCCCGCAGGCTGGCTTGGAAAGTTCGCCTGGCTAAGGTAGACTGCGCCTATCCGGGGAAGCTGCGGACGATGGGCTCTGCAGTCGGAGCCCAACCGGGAAGCCTCTCTCGCTGTCTATGGCCGGCTTGCCGAGGGGGGGGGAAGAGCAGGAAGCAGCCCCCGCAGGCTGGCTTGGAAAGTTCGCCTCGCTACGGTAGCCTGCGCCTGTCCGGGGAGGCTGCGAACGATGGGCTCTGCAGTCCGAGCTCCAACCGGGAAGCCTCTCTCTTGCCGGGGCGGGGGGGGGAGCAAGGCAGAAAACAGCCTCCGCAGGCTGGCTTGGAAAGTTCGCCTGGCCAAGGTAGACTGCGCCTATCCGGGGAGGCTCTGCGCTGGGTCCCGGCTCTTCCCCGCCCAGCCCCTCCGGCGGGCGTTGCCTGCCCCGCAGTTCCCGGGCTGCGCCTCTCCAGGCACCGGGCGCTCTCTGCAGCTGCTGGCGGCCGGCCGAGCGCGGCTTCCCCTGGGCGGCCTCGCTTCCTCCTCCTCCGCCTCCGCCTCCTGCTTCGCCTCCGGCCCCTCCGCCTCCCGCTCCGGCCGGCTACAGAGCGCCTCGGTCGGGCCGGCCATGGGCAGGCGCCGCCGGGCACGGGAGCCGCCCGCCCGGCCGCCGCTGCTGCTGCTGGCGCTGGCCTCCTTCTCGGCGCTCCTGCTCGCCTCGCTCAGCCTCCTGCTGGCCGCCTGGCCCCGCCACGCCGCCGGACTCGGCCGGCCGGACCCCGCCGATGCTGCCCCCGGCGCCCTGCCGCAGGTGAGGGAGGGGGGTCGGGCTGCCTGGAGTGGGGAGGGGTCCTTGCTTCCCCCCCCCCGGTGGGTGGGGCAAGAGTGGCTGGGGAGGGGTCCCTTCTTGCCCCCCCCGCCTGATGGGTGGGTGGGGCAAGGACGTGCGACCCCCACTCCCACTCCACTCACCTGCACTGGGGGTGGGTGGGTGGGAGGGAAATGAAAGCGAAAGGGGTCTTAGCTGCTGAGGAGGGGTCCCTTCTTGCCCCCCCCCGCCTGGGGAGAGGGGCAACAGGAGGGCCCCCCCTCCTATCCCACGCACCTGCCCCCAAGAGGTGAAGGCGAAGGGGTCTTAGCCGCTGGGGAGGGGTCTCTTTTTGTCCCCCCCCCACCTGGCAAGTGAGCAACAGGCAGGAAGGCGACCCCGCTCACCTGCTGGGGGGGGGAGTCAAGGCGAAGGGGGCTTGGTGGCTGAGGTGGGGGCGTCTGTCCCCTGTGACTGGTTGATGGGACAGGATGTGGGACCCCCACCCCCAGCCTGCTCACCTGTTCCAGGGGGAGGTGAAGGCAAAGGGGGAGGCTTGGACGGTGTGGGGAGGCTGTGTCTCCTTGCCCCCCTCCCCAGGCTCAGGGGTGGGGGTGGAGGGGGGGAACGCAGGACCCCCCCCTCACTCCCATCTCACTCACCTGCCCTGCCGGAGGGTCTTAAAGCAAAGTTGCCTTGCCTCTCTTTTCACCCCTTGCTGGGGGGGGGGGCTGGATGCTGGACCCCCACTCCCAGCCTGCTCACCAGCGGGGAGGGGGGGTGTCAAGGCCTAAGGGGGGGCTTGGTGGCCAAGGAGGAAGGGTCTTCTTGGCCCCCCCCCCAACTCAACTCCTCTGGTGGTGAGGACGAGGGGGTGGGGAAACGTGGAATTCCCACCCCCCCACACTCTATTCAGGTGCAGGGGGGGGTGTCAAGGGGGCACGAAGAAGACACTCCTTGGTGGGGGGGCACCTTAGCCCCATCTGGGCCACAGGAGCCTCCCCCCCCTCCTATTCACCTGCCAGGCGTCCGCAGCACGTGTGGCTGGGGAGAAGTTCCGTAAAGCACTTTTGGAAAGTATCTCCCCCCCCTTCCTTCTTGCCCGCCCCCCTCCAGGGGAAAGGGTTTGGCCCACAGCAGGGGTGGGGTGGCCCTTGGGGGGGGTTTGCTCCGTGGGTGGGGACGCTCCTTTGCCCTAACCGACCTCTTCGTCTTGCAAAGCCCCCTCCCCGGCGGTGCCGAGGGTCTGAAGTTTCCTCCCCCCCCCCGTTGGCAGAGCTGAGCCTCTGGATGAGATGCCCCCCCTCCAAGACTTTTCAGGGGTGGGGAGAGCTTGACCTTCCATGGGGAGGGGGGCTGAGGACGCATGCCGTAAAAGGGGTGGGGGAAGCCCCCAGTCAAAACCCGTCCTTCTTTTGGGGGGGGGGCAGTTCCTCGCTGGTGCCCTGGCCGTGCTGAATGCACCTGAGACTTCTGAGTGAGGGGCTTTGGGTGGGCCGGAGGGGAGGGGCACAGCTGCCCCTTTGCACTGCTTTCCCACCCCACCCTTGGACCCCACAGCCAGCAGCTGGCCTGGCCTGGCCTGGCCTGGCCTTGGGAGGCTGGACGGCTGCCTGGCCTGGCCAGGGTCCTGCAGCCGCTTCCCCTGCCTCCAATCCCTGGGAGGGGGGAGGCCCCGACAGCTGTTTTGTGGGGCTGACCAGGCCTGGAGTACTCTCCACAGCAGTGGCAGCATTTGATCTCGCAACCGGTTGGTTAAGGCTGCCCGTAAGCCTGGGATGGGCAGGTCAAAATGAAATGAGTTTTTAAAGACTTCGTGTTGGCAAGTATTTTTAGCCAGTTTGCTCTAGAAACTAGGAGACTAGGCAACAGAGAGTTCTAGTCCTGCCATAGACATAAAAGTTGGCTGGGTGACTTTGGGCCAATCACCAGGTGACGGTGAGTTCTAGTCCCACCTTCGGCATGAAAACCAATTGAGTGACTCTGGGCCAATCACCAGGAGACGGTGAGTTCTAGTCCCGCTTTCGGCATGAAAGCCGGCTGGGTAACTTTAGGCCAATCAGCAGGAAAGGGTGAATTCTAGTTTCCCCCGTCTTCTTAGGCATGAAAGCCAACTGGGTGAGTTTAGACCAGTGACCAGGAGAGGGTGAGTTCTAGTCCCAATTTAGGCTTGAAAGCCAACTGGGTGACTTTGGGCCAATCACCGGGAGACAGGGAGTTCTAGTCCCGCCTTAGGCATGAAAAACAACTGGGTGACTTTGGGCCAATCACCAGGTGACGGGGAATTCTAGTCCCGCCTTAGGCATGAAAACCAACTGGGTGACTTTGGGCCAATCACCAGGTGACGGGGAATTCTAGTCCCGCCTTAGGCATGAAAACCAGCTGGGTGACTTTGGGCCAATCACCAGGAGACGGTGAGTTCTAGTTCCAACTTAAGCATGAAAACCAACTGGGTGTCTTGGAGCCAACCTCCCGCAAACTGGGAATTCTAGTCCTGCACTAGCTATGAATGCCAGCTGGGTGATTTTGGACCAACCACCAGGTGACAGGGAATTCTAGTTGTGCCTTAACCGTGAAAGCCAGCTGGGCGACTTTGCCCCAATCCCTCTCATAGGGACGTTATGGTGGGTTAATAGCAGGAGGAACACGTCTTTGATATGTTCCCCGCCTTGGCTGGCTTGTAAAAATAAGGAAGGCAGGATACACAAAATAAAACAAATAAGTTGACAGAGGATGAGAACCACGGAGCGTGTGCAGAGGGCTCGGGGAGTCCAAATCTGTACCCCCTGCCTTGTTTGCGAGAACGTTCCTTCTCAACACTGCCTAATTCTGCTCAGATAAACTCCGCTGGTTTAATGCTATTTTTTTTTTCTCTTATTTATTACAATCGTCTGGGAAGAAAAATACTTTTTATGCCAGAAAAACATTTTTGGATCTTTGGTTTTGTTTTGTTTTTTAATCACGTGGTTTGAACTCTGCGCACCAGAGCAAAAAGAGGGTTATTAAACAAAACTAGGAGACGATTGCAGGCCCAGCCCACCCCTGCATGCCCCAAACAGGTGTCCCCAGATGTTGCAGCCGTCCAGCCCCACATCTGGAAGGGCTGCATCCCCAGCCCAGAGCGCCATTTGCATTCGGAACAGGCCAACGGATACACACACACACACACACACACGTATATATATATTTTAAAAAACCTCGTGATTTTGAGGTCTGTTCCGTTTGCTGGAGCTAAAGATAAATGTGTTTGGCCTCCTTCCAACCTGCGTATTTTTTTTAAATTTTATTTTAAAAACCTCTCGCCACCAGCTGAGCGCAAAACAATCCGCAAATCTGCTTTTCTTAAATTTGTTTTGTTTTGTTTTGTTCTGCAAGGCCCAAACAGCTGGGGAATTGGGACATCTGTTTTGCTATGTTGCCATAGCAACCTCCGCTCGGGCCTGCTCACCACCACCACCCCTGAACTAAATTTCAAACTTTTCCCATGGAGGAATTGCCCCCCCCCCATCTCGTCTTCAAGCATAAGCCCTGATTGGTGGGCAAACACTTTAAAACAGGGGTCTTCAAACTTGGCCCTTTGATGACTTGTGGAGTTCAACTCCCAGAATTCCTCAGCCAGTTTGCCTGGCTGAGGAATTCTGGGAGTTGAAGTCCACAAGTCATCAAAGGGTCATAGTTCCCTCATGCTGGCTGAGGAATTCTGGGAGTTGAAGTCCACAAGTCATCAAAGGGTCATAGTTCCCTCATGCTGGCTGAGGAATTCTGGGAGTTGAAGTCCACAAGTCATCAAAGGGTCATAGTTCCCTCATGCTGGCTGAGGAATTCTGGGAGTTGAAGTCCACAAGTCATCAAAGGGTCATAGTTCCCTCATGCTGGCTGAGGAATTCTGGGAGTTGAAGTCCACAAGTCATCAAAGGGTCATAGTTCCCTCATGCTGGCTGAGGAATTCTGGGAGTTGAAGTCCACAAGTCATAAAGGGGTCCTAATTCCCTCATGCTGGCTGAGGAATTCTGGGAGTTGGTCCACAAGTCATAAAGGGATCCTAGTTCCCTCACGCTGGCTGAGGAATTCTGGGAGTTGTAGTCCACAAGTCATCTAAGGGGCAAGTTTGAAGACCCTGCTTGTGGACTTCCACTCCCAGAATTCCTCAGCCAGGCATACATGCAAAAAAAAAAAATGGGTTTCGATTTTCAAATTGACCTCTTCACTCTTTGGAAATTGTGACAATGTTGGGGAGGATGGTTTGTGTAGTCCGGTGGCTTGACTTGGGCTCTTCTTTTTTTTCTCAGAAAGTGCTGTCGGAGGAGTTGGACCCGGTAAGCGAACGGATGTTTTTGCCCCACCGCGGTGAAGAATTTTATTTTGCATGCACTGGACAGCCTTTTGTCTGAAATGGGTTAGGGTTTCCTGCCGGAGCAGGGGGTTAGACTAGATGACCTCCAAGGTCCCTTCCGAGTCTCTTTATTTTTTTATTTCCCTTCCTCCCTTCTCCAACACTGGAAATTTTAAGAAGAGACTGGACAGCCACTTGTCTGAAATGGAATATCCTACCTGAGCAGGGGGTTGGACTAGATGACCTCCAAGGTCCCTTCCAACTTTATTATTGTTATTATTATTGGCAACTTTGTGCAATGGGCTGTTTTCTGCTATCTGCAATCCTCGGCTTAACAACAGTTCATTTAGTGACTGTTCGAAGAATAAAACAGAATAGAACAGAATAATAAAATATAGATTAGAACAGAACAGAATAGAATAGAACCAAATAGAACAGAATAGAATAGAATAATAAAATATAGACTGGACTGGACTGGACTGGACTGGACTGGACTGGACTAGAATAGACTAGAATAGACTAGACTAGACTAGAATAGAATAATAAAATATATAATAGAACAGAACAGAATAGAATAGAACCAAATAGAACAGAATAGAATAATAAAATATAGACTGGACTGGACTGGACTGGACTGGACTGGAATAGACTAGACTAGACTGGAATAGAATAGAATAGAATAGAATAATAAAATATAGAATAGAATAGAACAGAATAGAATAGAATAACATAGTTGAAAGGGACCTTGGAGGTCTTCTAGTCCAACCCCCCTGCTTTTCCTCGTTTGTTCCCCAAGATATTGGTATTCTGGGATAGACTGCCTCTGAACATGGAGATTCCATAAGTCTAGCATGAGTAAATGCTGTTGAGGAATGAGTCCCGTGCCTGTTTTGTGAATCTGGAAAATCTTGTTCTGATGCTCTCTTAAACTAAATTTCTTTTCTTTTGGGGGGGGGGGTAGAGATTGAATTTTGTAAATGATTTTAAGAGATGAAGCCGCAAACGTGCAACAATTTGCCTTTTGTGGTGGGAAAGAAGAAGGAAAAACCAAGGGAGAATTGGGGGTGGACCAGAAGAAGAAGGATTGGTCTAATTCCTTTCTGGATTGTTACATGCCGAAGAAGCTGGCTACCTTTCCCTGTAGCATGCAGCTTGGCTCGTTGCTTCGAGATGTTCGCTGAGCGTGTCCCGTGTTTTGGGGTTGATGTGCTTCATAGGGGCTGCAAAGCTGCTTTTGCCAAATTAGGGATTTGAATTGAAATTTGGGGTTGATTGTACCAAGCCCCCAAATTTTGCATTAACCTGCAGTACCTCTCTGCTCCTTTAGGTGGTGCTCTCCTCCAGCTGGAACAACCAAGGGAAGTTCCTGCACCATTTTGCCCAGCAGGGGGCGCTGCGGCATCGAAGGCAAGGTGAGTCGCTCCTTCGAAGACTGGGCAGAATGCACAAAAGTCCTCGATTTAACAATTACTCATTTAGCGACTGTTTAAAGCTCAGGTCTGCAAACTTGTTGACTTTCAGACTTGTGGACTTCAGCTCCCAGAATTCCTCAGTCCCAGTTCCCTCACGCTGGCTGAGGAATTCTGGGAGTTGAAGTCCACAAGTCATCAAAGGGCCAGGTTTGAAGACTCCTGTCTTAAATCTAACAAACAAAATGGAGGCTGGCTGAGGAATTCTGGGAGTTGAAGTCCACAAGCTGGGGGTCTTCCAACTTGGCCCTTTGATGACTTGTGGACTTCAACTCCCAGAATTCCTCAGCCAGTGTGAAGGAACTATGGCCCTTTTATGATTTGTGGCTGAGGAATTCTGGGAGTTGAAGTCCACAAGTCATGAAAGGGTCCTAGTTCCCTCACGCTGGCTGAGGAATTCTGGGAGTTGAAGTCCACAAGTCTGAAAGTCGACAAGTTTGGAGCTGCCTGGTTTAAAGTCAAAGCAGCACTGGAAAAAAAAGGGACTTACAATCGGTCCTCGCACTTATGGCCGTTGCAGCATCCCCGTGGTCACCTGATCATCCTTTGTGACCTTCCCAGCCGGCTTCCGAGCCCCGTGACCCCCGGGAGACACAGCGACGCCGTCGTAAACGCGAGTGGGTTGCCGAGCGTCTGGAATTTCGATCCCGTGATCTTGAGGATGCGGCAACGGTCGTCAGGGTGAAAAAGGGGCATTTGAGTCAACTTTTCTCAGTGCCGTTGGTAACTTTTGAACGGTCGCTAAATGGAACGTTGTAACTCGAGGAGTGCCTGAACTCTGACGGCCAGGAAAATTGCCCCCCCCCCGATGTTGTCTTATTCTCTGGGGTCTTTCAACACCCCCCCCCCCAAATAAACCCCTCTCTCTTTTTCAGCTGAGAAGGGGAAACGGGTTCGGCCTTGCCGGACGGGAAATATCTGTGCCGCCCACTACGAAGGTGAGGGAGGGTCTCCTGGGGTCCTCACCGGCCCCCCCCCCTGAGAGAAAAGATGCCAGAGCGGGGGGGGGGAGGAAGAAATGGGGGGGGGGTTGGGTGCCTGGATTTTATTTGGAGCATCTCCCACCTCCGTCCATCAAACTGATTCTTTCTTTCTTTCTTTCTTTCTTTCTTTCTTTCTTTCTTTTTTTCTCCTTCCTTCCTTCTTGCCTCCCTCCATCCCCTTCTTTCCCTTCTTCTCATCTTCCTTATTCTTCTTCCCCATCCTTCCTTCCTTCCTCCCTCCCTCCCTTTCATTCCCATCTCCTCCATTCCTCCCTCCATCTCTCTTCCTTGCTTCCTCCCCTCCTGCCTCCCTCTTATTTCTTTCCTTCCTTCCTTCCTTCCTTCCTTCCTTCCTTCCTTCCTTCCTTCCTTCCTTCCTCCCTCCCTCCCTCCCTCCCTCCCTCCCTCCCTCCCTCCCTCTTCCTTTCTCTCTCTCTTATTTCCTTCCTTTTTTTCCTCCCCCTCCCTTCCCCTCCCTTCCTCCCTTCCTTCCTTCCTTCCTTTCTTCCTCCCTCCCTCCCTCCCTCCCTCCCTCCCTCACACTTCCTTTCTCTCTCTCTCTCGTTCTCTCTTTCTCTTTTAGTGCAAGCCTCCTTTGGACGAGCTGGGATGCAGGCAGGTAACACTTCGGGGGGTGGGGTGGGAGCTTTTGCAAGGCAGGTGGGGAACATTGGCTTGCCCCCTGCCCACCTCAACCCCCCCCCCTCTCTCTCACCCGGCCTCCTGGCCCTTAAGTGAGGTCGCTTGCGCCATCCAGTTGCGCGCACGAACTCAGAAAGCGGGCAACTTCGTGCAGCATTGGGAAGGCACCCTGGCTATTCTGTGGGGGGGCTTCAGGGGGTCCCCACAGAGGGGAGGGGTGAGGCCTCTGCCCACAGCTGGGGGGCTGGGGCTCCAATGTTCATTCCCCCTCCTCCTCTGTCTCCCTCGCCCCCCCCCAGATGCCAACGGGACCATCCGCGGATGGGCGGAAGCCAAGCTGAACGCCACCAACCCCCTGCGGTACGACAACAGCCGCGGAGAGTTCACGGTGGTCAAAAGGGGCCTGTATTACCTGTATTGCCAGGTGAGCTCAAAAAGGAGGGGGGCTTGTGGGTAGGAAGAGCAAAGAATTCTGGGACTTTGCCGCGGATGGGCGGGGATGGTCACGAGAACCCTTGATTGACCCTTGGATGCGTTTCAAGGGAGTTGATTGGCAAACTCCGTGTTGTTCCAAGAGGGGTGGACCTCAACTCCCAGAATTCCCCAGACAGCACGGAAAAACAACCACGCGGGTAGTCCTCAAGAGTTCATTTAGTGACCGTTCAAAGTTAACAACGGCGCTGAAAAAAGGGATTTAGGAGCATTTTTCCCACAACCGTCGCCGCGTCCCCGTGGTCACGCGATCAAAATTTAGTCATTTGGCAATTGACTCGTATTTATCACGGTCGCAGCGTCCCAGGGGGTGTGTATCACAAGATCCCCCTTTGCGACCTTCTGCAGGGGGAAGCCAGATTGACTCAACAACCGGGTGACTCGCTTAACAACCACAGGGATTCACTTAACAGCCGTGGCGAGAAAATTCATCAAATGGGACCAAACTCATTTCGCAACTGTCTCGCTTAGCGGTGGACAATTTGGGCTCCCTTGTGATCCTAAGTCGAGGACTCCCCCGTAGGTGGGGCTGGGGGGGGGAGGTTGACCCTCAGAACTTCGGACGTAGATGGTAAGTCCCCTTTTTCAAGTAGGTCGCAACTTTGAACGAGGCCTATGTAGAGGACTTGATTCACGTGCGCGACAGAGCCCCGACACTTTCCATCCGTGTTGCTTCTGTCCACGTTTCTAGGTCCACTTCAACGAGGGGAAGACGGTCTACATGAAGCTGGACGTGATGCTGAGCGGCCAGCTGGCCTTGCGCTGTTTGGAGCAGTTCCCCCCCACCAGCTCCGGACCCCAGGAGGCCGAACTGCACGTCTGCCAGGTGTCCGGTCTGCTTCTCCTGCGTCCCGAAGCCTCCATCCGTTTGCGCACCATCCCGGAGGTCCGTCTGAAGGCTGACCGCTACCTCACCTATTTCGGCCTCTTCCAGGTCCACTGAGAAGACTGGGCAGCGGGAATGACCACTGGGCTGGGGACCCGGGTGGGCTTTGCAGAAACAGAGAGGAGGCACACAGCCGCAGTTGCTGCCTTCCGTACGGCGGACGCGTCGGAGCGCAGAGCGGCGTCCCGATTGTTCCTTTTTGTTTCTGGACCGGCAATTCTCCGTTTCTCGCTTGGGGGTCCGTGATTCCGACGTCCACCCGGGTGCCAGCAAGTTAAAGGGTGGTGGGGCGGGGGTGTGTGTCTTCTCACCAGGCGCTGCGCCTTCCGCTTGGTTGCAAAAACTCTGCAGTCCAAACAGCGGCGGGAGTCCAAAAATGGATCCAACAACGAGGAACTGCGTCAGTGACGTGTGCGGACTCCATTTATCTACTCCCGTTCCCAACTCTGTTCTGCTTTGCACCCTGGCTGGAGCACCCCTGGCATCGTCTGTTTTGTATTTTTATACTTTTACGTCGCTTTTTTGTCGGGCGCACTGGATGCTTAGAAGGGTGCCCGCCCTCTTGGTGCGGTACGACATGGATGCGACACGTTCACGCACCACCAAGCAGGATTGTCCTGCAGCCGTGGGGGCTGTCCAAGAAGGACCCCCAGAGCACATGTGGCTCCACAGACTGATGTTTGGATCCCAGCCAGCAGGGGGTGACAGGACCTCAAGGAAGTGGACGCTAAGCCTCCCCCGTAAAGGATTGAAACTCCCCATTGGCTGTGAGGATGGGAGGGGCCCAAGCCCTGCCCCAGTGGTTGGTTTCTACTTGAGGGAGGGTGTTCAGACAACCACTTGGGGCTACGTGCACCCAAGTTAACCCGCACCTACAAAAAAGACCTGAAAACCCACGTCGGGGCTGCCAAAGGTTGCACACCCCTAGAAATGTGGTGTGGGGAAAGGTCGCACGCACCTGCGAAAGGTCGCAGGCACCTGCCAGTGCCGCATAGCGAAGGTTGTGCACGCCTGGGAATGTAGTGGCACTGCAAATCGTTGCACGCGCCTGCCCAATGCAGCGTCGTGTTGCAAACACCTTGCGCGCACCTGCGAATGCAGCGTTGCCAAAGGCCGCGTGCCCTTGCGAAGCATTGCCGAGGGTCAAAACTGCAGCCCGCCTCCCGGGAACATCGATGCGCAGGGCCTCTGATGCAACCGGACCTGTGGATGATGGTTTTTCCCCACCTCCCCTTCCCATTCTATATCTTTACAAAGGTTGCAATTGGCAGCAATGGCCGACACAGCTTAACGTAACGAAATACCCCGCCCCACCGTTTGCTTTTAAAGCCACGCTCCTGGCCGCTGTCCCTGCTCGCCACAACATTTAGCAAGGGCGGTGCCCTCTGGTGCGGAAAGTTGGCACCCTCCCATTTTACGACACAGCGTGGAAATAAAAGTAGAACAACACAGGTTTTCCGGCTCTCGTTCCCTAGCAGACGCCGTTGCAAAGGCTGCCGTTGGTTGTGTATTGTGTGACACACACCTCCGTGTCCTCTGCGTGGGCGGCGAGCATTGGCCAGGCCAGCCTCGTGCCCCACGCGACTTCCTGTTTGTGTGTCTCAAAACACACTGCCCTTCCTTCCTTCTTCGGAAACGTGGGTGTTTTCCAAAGGAGATGTCGAAAAGGAATCGGCTCGGTTCTGCTTGTGCGGCCAGGGTGTACGTTGTATTTTTTTTTTTTTTTTGCCGAGGGGGTTTTGTGAACATCGCACCAGCAACAAATAGCTTACAACTGGCACGGGGTTGCTTCCGGGAACTCCACTGAGCTGGAACCAAAAGCTTAAAAACGGGATTCTTTGCTTGGCCTTCAAGGAACCAGACGTAGCAAAAAGCAGGTGGTCCTCTACTTACGACGGAAATCGCAACAGACACCCTCTCAAAAGGGACTTAAAAGGGAGATTCAAAATTCCGAACCCCCCCCCCAATGTCATGTGATGGCTTTGGGGGCAATCAGCCCTCATTTATGACGAGGTGAACTGACGACATTTTTTCCTGGCCGAAACCAGGGGTTTCACTTAATGACCGTGGGGGGGTTTACTTCACGACCTGCTGCTTTTCTTAACGACCGCCACCCCCCCCCAAAAAAACCGGAATCCCGTGATGACCTGCTTAACAACCGGCACGGCTTCTCCCCCACCCCCGTTGATTTTGCTCGTCAGAAATATGGAAAAAGGGGGGTTCACGTAACCTCGGAACATAAATACAAGTCAGCGGCGTCCGAAGTTTGATGCCCTGATGGTCGTAAGCGTGAGGACCAGTCCTGAGTCCAATTTTTTTTTCAGCGCAACTTTGAACGGTCGCTAAGGGAACCCCGTCGTAAGTCGAGGTGTGTTTTTCTGACCGGGCAAAGGAGCCGATTCCGTGCGCCCTGAGAACGAGTCATGCAGGGGTTTTTTTGTTCTCACTTCTGCTTCTGAGTGCACGGCCTGTTCCCGTGTGACTCGCTGGGTTCCCTCCCCCCCCTTTTCACCCCTTCGGTACGGGCGGTCCCCGACTTACGACCACAAAGGACCCTGAAATTTAAGCGAGACGTTGGTCCGGCGAGTTTTGCCCCGTTTATCCACCTTTCGTGCTACCGTCGTTAAATGAATCACCGCGGATGCTGAGATAGTCACATGGCTGTTAAGTGAATCTGGCTTCCCCCCCCCCATCCTTGGCTTCGCGTGTCAGATGGTCGTAAAAGAGGGATCACAGGATCTCTCTCACACACACACACACGGGGGGACGCTGCGACCGTCGTAAATACAAATCGGTGGTTGAGCTGTCTGAATTTTGATGGTGGGACCACGGGGATGCTGCGACGGCCGTTAAGGGTGAAAAACGGTCACAGGTGGGTGCTTTTTTTTTCCGGGGCCGTTGTGACTTCGAACGGTCGCTAAATGGACTGTTGTAAGCCGAGGACCGTCTGTATTTCGGTTACGCTTGTAAGCCGAGGATCGTCTGTATTTCGGTTACGCTTTGATCTTCGATGTCTCTCTGGCCCAAGGGACTCAGCTGATGATTCTATGGGCCCCCGCTATTTCAGCATAACAGAGTGGGAAGGGACCTGGGAGGTCATCTAGTCCAACCCCCTGCTCAGGCAGGAGACTCTATTCCATTTCAGACAAAGGGCTGTCCAGTTTCTTCTTAAAAAGGAAGAGGAGGAGGAGGAGGAAGGAAGGAAGAATAACAGACTCGGAAAGGATCTTGGAGGTCATCTAGTCCAACCCCCTGCTCAGGCAGAAAACCCTATTCCATTTCAGACAAATGGCTGTCCAGTCTCTTCTCAAAAACTTCCAGTGTTGGAGAAGGAAGGAAGGAAGGAAGGAAGGAAGGAAGGAAGGAAGGAAGGAAGGAAGGAAGGAAGGAAAACAGTTGGAAGGGACCTTGGAGGTCATCTAGTCCAACCCCCTGCTCAGGCAGGAAACCCTATATCATTTCAGACAAATGGCTGTCCAGTTTCTTCTTAAAAAGGAAGAGGAGGAGGAGGAATAACAGGATAACAGAGTTGGAAGGGACCCTGGAGGTCATCTAGTCCAACCCCCTGCTCAAGCAGGAGACCCCGTTCCATTTCAGACCAGGGGCTGTCCACTCTATTTCCTCTGCACACCCAGCTTATCTTTGTCTCCGGTGTGTCATTTCGGATCGAGGCTCCCCGTCGTGTCGCACAATTGCACAATCCAACGTTTGCCGCCAATCTTTACACCTCTTGAACAATACGACACATCATCGGCCTACAAAAATGAACCCACCACACACCGTGTGACCTCAATACCTCCCTTGTGTGTTTACCACAATTACATACAACCACGAAGGAAATCTCGTGGGTCTTTTCTTTAGCCCCTGTTCAGTGTTGAGCCCGAGTCCAGTGACAGCGGGTCCTCGACGTAACGACGATTTGTTTAGTGACCTTCGGAAGTTACAACGGCACTGGAAAAAAAGCGACCCGGGGCCGTGTCTCACACTTTACGACCGTTGCAGCACCCTCACGGTCACGCCATCAAAATTTGGAGGCTTGGCAAGTGGCTCGTATTAGTGATGGTCACAGTGATCCCCTTTTGCGACCTTCTGAAAACGTTTCACTTAGCAACATAAATTCAGGGCTCCGTTGTGGTCGTAAGTAGAGGACTACCGGTATGTGCCTTATTTCCATCCCCTGCCGTCCATTTTGCTTGAAGCCGCCAACTTTCAAACTCCATATTCGAGCAAAGCGCTCTATAATTCAAGTCCACTCGCGTTGTTGTACATTTTCTACCAACACCTGGACAATAAACACAATCACGTTCGTGTCTTTGTCGTGAATTTAATGAAAGATTTACGGGGAATAAACTTCGGACAAGATGGCGGTGAGGGTGGTGGCAATAGCACTTAGACTTATATACCGCTGCACAGTGGTTTACAGCCCTCTCTAAGCGGTTTACAGACTCGGCTTATTGTCCCCCCAACAATCTGGGTCTTTATTTTACCGACCTCGGAAGGACAGAAGGCTGAGTCAACCTTGAGCCGGTCGTGAGGGAGGGAAGGAAGGAAGGAAGGAAGGAAGGAAGGAAGGAAGGAAGGAAGGAAGGAAGGAAAAGAGAGTCGGAAGGAACCTTGGAGGTCATCTAGTCCAACCCCCTGCTCCGGCAGGAAACCCTAGCCCATTTAAGACAAATGACTGTCCAATTCCTGGCAGTGGTCAGAGTTAGCCTGCAATGCTGCATTCTAACCACTGGGAAGGAAGGAAGGAAGGAAGGAAGGAAGGAAGGAAGGAAGGAAGGAAGGAAGGAAGGAAGGAAGGAAGGAAAATGAGAAAGAAGGAAAGGAAACAAGGAGAAGGAAGGAAGGAAGGAAAAAGAAAGGAAAGGAAACAAGGAGAAGGAAGGAAGGAAAAAGAAAGGAAAGGAAACAAGGAAAGAAGGAAAACCAGAAATAGAAAGGAAACAAGGAGAAGGAAGGAAGGAAAATGAAGAAGGAAATGAAAGAAGGAAGGAAGGAAAATGAGAAAGAAGGAAAGGAAACAAGGAAGGAAGGAAAATGAGAAAAGGAAAGGAA